CCAGGCAAAGGGGAGAGGGAAAGGCCCTTCTAGAGGAAGGAGCCTGCACGCTCCCTGCTTGAGGACCGGGCCTGGGTCATTGCCAGGCACTCTCAAGGTACCTGTTGAATCTCCTGGGCTTTCTATTCACAGAGGACCTGCAGTTCTTTTGGCAATCCTCAGGCATTCTTGACGCTGTTCTTATTTTGGAACGTAAAGAGTGGTCCCTCAGGCCGATTTGTGAACATCATGTCCTGGGAGAAGGCAGGAGAGTTAGGATGAGTTGCTGGGGAGGAATCTGACCGTGTGTGTCCTTAAACCTCCTCTCTCCCACTGTTCTGTAGGATAAGGAGCCCCGTGGAATCATCCCTTTAGAGAATCTGAGTATCCGGGAAGTGGAGGACTCCAAAAAACCAGTGAGTATTTTTGAGGGGAGAAAAGGGATGGGCGTTTCAAAGATTTTTTTTAAAAACCCAAAACCAAAGCATTGAAAAGCATAATCAGGTCTTTTATTTAGTCTAATTTTTGATTATATTGTTCAAGCCAAAGATGAGACTAAATCACTTCTTTCTGTGCTGTCCATCTGGTTTAGTTTCACTTGGTGAATATCACATGAGGTGTAGAAGTTGCCCCTCCTCAGACGGCGACAGCAAACACTCAAGGGTGGGCTATTTAATTTATAACCTTGGGACACCTTATATTTATTTTTTCTTTGTTTTGGACCATCATGATGTTACTGGCTTGACTTTAAAAAGCCTTCAGTAACCGGTTGTTCTCTCCATATTTTACGTGCATTAGAAGTGGAGCTAACTTATATCAGGTTGATATGTTTGCTAACAAGACTTATTTCTATGCAATTTACAGTCTCCAGAGTTCCACTTCTAAGCTTCACTTTTCCATAGGAAAATATGTCTTGCTTGTATTTTGTGAAGGTTAGAATAAAGAGGCCTTGGGGAAAGAAATCAGCATGTTTCTCAGTCAGCAGCATCCTTTGCTTCAGTCTCTTCCTCCCTGTTTTGATTCTCAGAACTGCTTTGAGCTTTATATCCCTGACAATAAAGACCAAGTCATCAAGGCCTGCAAGACTGAGGCTGACGGGCGGGTGGTGGAGGGGAACCACACTGTTTACCGAATCTCAGCTCCGACGCCCGAGGAGAAGGAGGAGTGGATGAAGTGCATTAAGTAAGTGACTTCAGAGAAAGGGAGGTGGGTGTGCCTGACGGGCTCTCACTCACCAGGTATTCATCGTCTTAGTGGCCAAACATGCCGCCTGCACCTCTTCTGTGCTCCCAGTGTTACGTTCTTAGGGAAGTTTGGTCCTGGTTCCCAGATGACTTCCTGGGAGGCCTTTGGATTTTTGTCTATTACAGCGTATGTAAAAGAGCACGTCCCATCTGGGTTCCCCAAGTGTCCTCATAGACCCAAAATGGGAAGAGGTGAGTGAGCTGCAGGCACAGATGCCATTGCTGAGCTGGCCTTTCCATGTCCGAGGAAGCTGTTCGCATTATAGCAACAGCTCCGTGGTGACAGTAGTCATGTTTTATCATTTGTGAATGTTACGAGACACCATTTTCCTAGCTACAGATGAGGAAACTGCGGCCCATAGAGGTCAAGACATTCGCTGGAGGTCAAATAGCATCATCCAAGGTCCAGGAGGAGGGAAAAGCCTCCTCAGAGTTCCACAGCTAAGAAGTCGAGCTCCAAGTCCAGCGCTCTGACTCCTCACTCTCGGCTCTGCTCCAGCCATGTCAGGTTTCTCATGGGGCTGGAGACTTCCAATGGGAAAAGTATCTGGAAACACAGCTTTCTGAAGCCAATGGGCTTCTTTTGCTTCATGTTCTTCCCTGGGCCTTGGTCCGCCTGGTCCTGCCTCCAGTCCCTGTGTGAGGATCAAGACTGAGCATCTGCTTTTGCCTTCTCTCCATGAGGCTTGCTCCTGAGAGCACAGCCTTGTCCTCCCTCCTGGGTGCTTCATCCATGAGAGTTTACCCAGCTGTTTTCCTGAGAAAGGCTCTTCAGCTGCCTGTGACTTCACCTGGAAAACAGGGAGTTTTTCCTCTAAGTCCTCTGTGTACTGTGTGACGGGCTTTTTCCTGCCCAGGCTACAGCCCCCTTCCTCAGAGAGTCCGATATGCTCTAGCCTTTGTTTTAGCTTTCGATATTTCTACTCAAACCAGGGTAGGTTTTGGCCAAGGTTAAATAATAAATGACTGAAGATGGAGATGATGTGATGATGGAAGGAAAAGATAGATGATTGATCCCTTCAAAAGTAAATCTGAAAATTCATGCAGTGAAAAGAGATAGGAGCCAGGCGGGGAGAGGATGGATTTGGTGCTGGGTCACACTGTGCTGAGTCCTTGCTCTGTCCCTCTGAGCACGGTGCCTGGTAGGCAGGTCACCTACCTCTTCTGTCTGATAGAGGTCATTTCTGACTCGTGGGCTCTTGTGAGGATTAAATGAGATCATGTGGTGGGCACAGACCTCGGCAGCTTCACTGGCATGACAGCCATCATGGGAAGTGTGGCCATGAGCAGGGGCCAGCCCACTCTCCATGAGCAGACGCAGCACCACTGTGTTTTCAGAGTCCCCTGCTAGTAATGGCATCAGCCCTGCGTTCTGGGGAAGAAAACAGCAGTGTTATGGGGGACCTGCATCCTTTTTTTAACATACTGAAAAACAATTTAACTCTTGAATCATTATAAAATGTGGTTTTTATATAAGATTTGAAGTAAGCGTTGTACAGGATTTTACCTTTGTTCTTGCAAATGAATAGTTGATGGTCCTGACGCCGTTTATGAATTAATCCGTGTCGCTCCTGTCGATGACACGGCTTCCTTAGCTTGTACCCACCTCCTCCGTCATGCGGCAAAGCACCTGCTGTTCCGCCATGTCTCCCACTGTGAGCGCCACCCTGCCTCTCCCCTGGAGCCGCATGTGTGCTCTGACTGCTGGCTGGTGGGCTTCCTGGCCTCCCCTCACTGGTCTTTCATAAAAGTTTTGGCTGGTTTTGTACATGTGTCTTTCATGTGGTTTTTACTTCTGTGGTTGGAAAAACTAAGCATTTTTCAAAGCGACACTTAGAATCATTCAATCCTTTAATGAGAGTGAGTGCTGAGCTCTCCTGTGTGGGGTTGCTGGGCTCCTCTGGCCTGTCCCGAAGCGGGCTGGTCTCAGCCTCGGATCTTCAGACTGGCACTCTGCGGACACGTTGTCCTCAAACCTCCTTGCACTTGGTGCAAGGTGGGCCCATTAGGGTTAATATCCCCGTTTCACAGCTGAGGACACTGAGGACGGCACACTTGAGTAAGTTGTCCAAAACCACACAGAGGTGGAGCGGGTCCTCAGACCTGAGCAGTGTGACTCATGCAGCTGCACTGGCAACCACCTCGCAGCCTCAGCTGTCCTTGGCCCTAGCTACTTCTCCCAGTGGAAACAGTGGTGATGACAGGAGCAGGAAGAGGATCTGGCTGGTGGATGCCTCTTCCCCAGTATTGCCAGAAAGGCCTTGGAGGTCAAGTTTAGGACACGTTTTTCTCTACATGCTTTTCCTAGAGTTCCCAGCAACCTCTGTTCTGGTGCCCCTGCCTGTGGGTTGCCATGGCATTCGCTTCTATGGAGTCAGGTGTGTTCTGTAATGCTGGGACTTTCTTCATGCTGTACCCGGAGGTAAAGCAGTGGAACTGCAGCGTCAGCAGTAACAGCGGCTGCCGTCGAGTGTGTCTGCTGGGCGCCGAGATGTGCTCTTTGTATACGGATCTCTGTTTGACTCCCCAGAACCCAGGGAGGCAGGGCATTTCCAGCTCCCATGTGAGGACGTGGGAGTGAGGAGCAGCATGCAGAGCCAGGCGGGGCTGACCAGGGCCTGGTGTCCAACTGCAGCCCAGCCCTCCTCATCACCCGACACTCAGCCTCTGCACACAGGGCAGGGCCACACACACCTGCAGAAACACCCGGCTTACCTAAAAGGTACCGACCCAAGAAGCCAAGGGAGATTCACCCCAATACTTCCAAAAATGAAAGCGATGTTTTGGCTGGCCAGATTCCCTCATGAGAGCACTTTGGGTTGTCAGACCCCTTCCTGGTGAGATCCCATCCGGACGTGTTTCTAGTACTGTTCAGTCCCTAGCACTCCCCGAGGAGCTGCAGAAACATTTTCCATGGACACATCATCTCTTGTGAATAGGATCCCGGTCAGCTCAGGGGAGCCATAGCAGCTGCTGGTGCCACCGCTCAGCAGGGGCAAGTGCCCTGCCTGCAGTCAGGAGGCTTGTGCCTGAGCTCTGGGACAAATCATCACTTAGGATACTGCTTCCCTGGAAAGAAATGAAGTGTCAAGGCTTGTAGACCATAACTTGCTTGAAAGTCGAGAATGATAGACCCAGGGCTGTGGAGTTGCTGGTCTGCTGCAGGTGCTTCAGCCCGCTCGCGTCTGGTGTTGCCGTTTTCGTGGCTCTGGCACAGGCATGAGCTCAGTCCCCTCCCTGTGTGCCGGAGACCCAGCCAAGTCCAGCCGGTCTGTCCCCAGTGCCCCACTGGCAGCATCGGGCCGGGCAGTGCTGCCTGCAGGGTCATGGAGCCTGAGTTACTGAACCAGTGCACATGGGGGCTTGGAAGGCCCTGCTGCATTACCATGCCAGCTGCCACACACCCCGTGCCAGAGGACTGCCTGTGACACAGCTTGATTACATGGCACTCGCTGCTGCAAAGAAAAGTCAGAGGTCATGAAACTCAAGCACAGGTTTTTTTCTCTGAATTTGAATATAGCTGTCAGAATGTGTCATGATTCTGTTCCTAAATGTCAATTGATTATTACATTGAAACAGGTAAAAAAGACCCCAAAATTATCTCGTCATGTATTCCTGTGTCTATTTCGAAGTGTATCACCGTAAGTCACTGTGTGGACACAGCAAGGGTGGACGACACTAACTTGGCCTTTGCAGTGATGGTGGGGTGGGACAGGGGCTTCAGGGCACGAGGAGCCCCTGAGAAGCCCCTGCCCAGATGTGTTTCTTCTGATTCCATCCCTCACATCTCTGTTTTCTTCCGTTTCTGTGCTCCAGAGCAGCCATCAGCAGGGACCCTTTCTATGAAATGCTCGCGGCACGGAAAAAGAAGGTCTCCTCCACGAAGCGACACTGAGCGTGCAGCCGAGGGCGTCGGTCTGCGGGGCTTCAGAGCTCCCGCCCTTCTCCCGCGCCTCCACGGATGTGCTGCTGCCTAGCAGAGAGTCCTCTGCCAGGCCCCGCCCTGGATTCCTAGAGACTAGCTTCAGCTTTTGCTATTTTTTTTTAAGTGGGAGAAGGGTGGGCAGTTATCACTGGGGAAGAGGGGACCGGCCGTCTATCCAGCATGGGCTCCTGAGCCTTTCTCTCTCACAGGGCAGAGCTCCTGTTGGCAGGGCAGCCTCCTGGCCAGTTTCTCTGCCCAGTGTTCTGGTAGCAGAGCTTGGCACCAACTGTTTACCTCCTGGTTGTCCCGGTGAAGAAGCCTTCAACCCCTGCACCATAAATACATGTATCCATATATTATTATATGTTAAGAAAAAAGGTGGAAAGGAAGAGAAGCCACATACTATAAAGATCTATTTTTTTTTAAGAGAGAACATAGTGCTGCTCAGGTGCATTCTGCCCTGACTGCTCTGGGAGCTTCTCCCTGGAGAAGAGCACCCGGGGCTGCAGCTGAGGGGCATCAGCCTGGGCCCGCGGCAGGGCCTGGCCCACCTCTCCTGTGCTGTGGGAGCTGGCTGCCTAGTGCTTGTCTGGGCGAGAGAGACAGGTGAGGTCGAGGACACAGAGGGCAGAGGTGCAGTGGGCCTCGGACAGCACAGTCAGACTCGGGGCCTACTCTGGCCGGGGGCACAGCCAGCAGCAGCATGCAGTCCAGCAGCTCCCGCAGATGTTTCTCCATCCCAAGTGCCTGCGGAGCGCCGAGGAGAGAGGAGAGAACTGACTGGATGCTTACGTTACTTTCCTCCTTCAGAATCCAGGTTCTTGTGGGGCTTTAACGTAGAAAGTCAGCATTTTCCTTGAGCTAAATACCTAATAACCAAAACTGTGAGGAAGGTTATCGGGGCAGAGCTTCCGGATAACCTAACTGTTTCATATTTGGTTTTTCTTCCTTTTCCCCAGAACTCCAGTCCTCGTTCTAGAGGAAGGAGTAGGACTTACCCAATCCCCTTAGGGCTTCAGCTTTTTCTGCCTCAAAACCAGCCCTAACTGGACTACTCTGGATGCGTTTTGTGGTGGGCCCCCTAGAGGGGAGGATGGGCCTTTATCTGCTCCGTGGAGTGCACTGGAGTGAGGTGGGGTGGCCAGGCAGCCTCTCGCATCTCTCTTCTCCCTGCAGGCACCGTGTGAGCTGGCCCTGCCCTCATTCCAGGTGAAGGGAGCCATGAAACGCAGCATTTTCCTGCCTTTCTCTCAGGGACTCTCAAGGGCAGCTCCTGCCCCTCTGCCAGGGCCAGCATGCCAGTCCAGGCCGAGCAGGTGGCTGGCCGTCTGGCCGTCTTGGCCCGCCCCTCCACAGGGCTCTGGCACAGGGCAGTGCAGGGCGCGGCCCCGAGGAGGCAGGTGGAGGAGCTGCGGGTTTCCACAGGGCCGCATCGCCACGGCTCTTCTGATCCTTTAGGGTTGGCGAGCATCTCTGGAAATAGCTTTTGCAGAGGCGTGGTGGGAGGAATGGAAGGGGACAGTCTCTCACCCCTACGCCGCCCGATTTGTGTAGATTCTACCTGGAGTGGCTTCACGCACTTTTGTGCCAGAGCTTGTGAGGGTGACAGAAGAGGGTCCAGGCTGGAAACCTGAACTTTCTGGGTGGGAGGACCAGGCGGTGCCTGCCAAGGTCTGGGCATGTCTGGGCCGGCACTGGAGCCTGTTCAGCTGGCCCAGGCCCTGACCTGGTTCTCACAAATGTTTCCTAGTCAGAGAGGCACCTGGGTCAGTATTAGTCTATTTATCAGAGGTGTAAATAATCTATGTATAGTTTTTCTCCTTTTAGATTATTTTGTATTTGTTTAAAAGAAGTTTTGTCAAAATACAAAAATATAAAGAAATGACTGAAAGTTGTTGACAGGGTTTTTAAAAAAATTATAATTATTCTAATTGTTTTTGTTTGTTTGTTTTTGCCTTGTAAACTAGCGCCAAGGAACTGCAGCAAATAAACTACAAATTTGCTCAAGCCATCTTCGTTGTTTGTGGCATCTCTCATGCTTAGGGTGGGCCTCGAGGTAGGAGAGGAGTGCTTAGCAGACGTGCAGGCAGGAGCGGGTGTCATGCAAACTGCACCTTGAGTTCAGTCGAAACACATTGAAAGTGGGAGGAGGCTTCTGTGTTCTGTTAAGAGCATAGTGAGAAAAGATAATGAGCTTAGTCTTTGCACCGCCCCCCGCCCCTGCTTTTTTAGAAGAAGAAACGTGAAACATCAATTTTAAATTAAGATCAAGAAATATGCCTTTAGTCAATATAATACATTTTTAGCATGATTTCAGTTTCCAGAGATGACATCATAATGCCAGAGAACAGACGGGGAAAAGTCTCGGTGGGCTCGAACCCAGAAGCAGGGGAAGGCACCTGGTGAGGCGGCACCCAGCAGGGAGACAGCAGAGCACCAGGCTGGCCCGCATTCTACCACACGGCAACAGTCATGTCTGATCTTTCCTCCTTGCTTCAAGCCCCCAGTCTGCCCTGACCATTCCCCAGGTGACCGCCCCGCTTTACTGAGAAGAGGACTGTCAGGTGTGAAGAGCAGCATTCCTACCTTCTCAAGTCAGTCGCACCCGAATTGTTTTTGTTCCCTCCCATCTCCGGAAGAAGTGGCCTCCTTTTTTCCTGTCTCCCTAGATCCGTCTCTGTCAGTCATCCTCTGTCTTGTACATATTCCCAAGTTTCTTTCCCCATTAATTTATTTCCCTCCCCATTAATTTATTTCCCTCAAACCACAGAAATGCCCATCTCATTTGAAAAGCAACTCCCTAAGCTCAGGAATAAGATATCTCCACTCTGTTAAAACATGTGCTCTGAATGAAGAGCCCCCCCCCCCACAAACAGGCTTTGTGTGAGCAACATGGCTGTTTATTCACCCCAGCGTGGGCGGGCTGAGTCCAAAAAGAGTCAGCAGAGGGTAGTGGGACAGGAGCTGGTTTTGTAGGTTTGGGGGAGGCAGTGCAAAGTTACAGAAGTTACAGTTCAGGGTGGTTTTTGCAAGCTGTGAGGGGATTGTAGGGTCTAGAGTCACGAGGTTGACCAAAGTCAGTTACAGAGTCCAATCTGCCTCGTCTCAAAGTTAATTAGGCGCTGCAGGGATTGATTATTTCTTCTCCTTTTGTGGTTTTCCAGTTACTTCAGACTCTCTAGTTCCAGGAACTTGTCTGGATTGTACGTGCAGGTTACAGGGGTTATCATGGCATAGTCCATAGTGCGATCAGCCTGAAAGACCTTACACGGTTACCACTTCCATTCAGCATTGTACTGGGGGTTCTAGTCAGGGCAGTTAGACAAGAAATGAAAGGCATCCAGATAGGAAAGGAAGAAGGAAGATTACGTTTATTTGCTGGTAACATGACTTTATAATGCCTAGCTGAGCCATGGGCTTGCAGCCCCAGCCCAGGAGAGCTGCAGGCACTAGATGCCGTCCTGTGAGAGCTGGGGTGGGCTGAGCCCAGCACGGGGGGTGGGGCTGCTCCTGGCTTTGGGGGATCACATTAAGATGAGTCAGAGAATATTCTGGAGTCAGGATTTAGTGTTGTCTGCCCTGTTGGGTTTCAGACTTTCTTGGGACTGGTTATTCTTTTCTTCTTGCCCTCTTTTCCTTTTTGGAATGGGAATGTCTATCTTATGCCTGCCCTGCCACTGTATTTCATAAGCACGTAACTTGTTAAATTTCAGAGGCTCTCAGCTGGAGGGGGATTTGCCTCAGGATGAATTGTGCCTTGAGTCTCACTCATCTGATTTAGAGGAGACCCTGGACTTGCGGACTTTGGAATTGATGCTGGAGCAAGTTAAAACTTTTGGGGGAGTTGGGATGGAATGAATGCATTTTGTACTGAGAATGATGAGTCTGGGGGTACCAGTGGCAGAATGCTATGGTATGAATGTTTGTTCCCTCCAAAACTCACGTTGAAATGTAACTGCCATTGTAACAGTATTAAAAGGTAGGACCTTTAAGAGGTGTTTAGGTCATGAGGGCAGAGCCCTCATAGACAAATGCTGTGTTGCAGGAGTGGGTTTGTTTTTGTGGGAGTGAGCTCACCTCTTCTTGTGCGCGCTCACACTCTCCTCCATCCTGCTCTCCTGCCATGTAATGTCCTCTGCCATGTTACGATATAGCAAGAAGGCCCTCATTAAGATGCCAGTACCTCAATACTGGACTTGTCGGCCTCCAGAACTTTGAGCCAGTTAATTTCTGTTCTTTATAAAGTGCCCAGCCTCTGGTGGTCTGTTACAGCAGCACACACTAGGATGGCTATCATAAAAACGACAGATGCTGACGAGTGTCACGGAGGACTCAAAGCAATTGGAACCGTCCAGTTGGTGGGCATGTAAAATGGTGCAGTTGCCATGGGAAACAGTTTGGCAGTTCATCAGAAACAATCCCCCTATGATCCAGCAGCTCTGCTCCTAGGTGTAGACACAAGAGAATCGAAAAGATGTGACCATAAAGACTTGTACACAAATGCTTCCATTAATAGCAGCATGATTCATAATAGCCCCAAAGCGGAAGCAACCCAGATGCATGGGGATGAAGCAACCCAGATGCATGGGGATGGAGGCAATGTGGTAGGCTCACATAATCCAACGTTATTCAGCCACACAAAGGGATGGAGTGCTGACGCATGCCGCAGAATGGCCGTCTGGAACACATGGTGCTCAGTGAAGGAAACCTACACGAAGTTCACACTGTGTATGGTTCTCTTTATGTGAAATGTCTACAGAAGGCAAATCTATGGAGAAGGAAAGTAGAGTCATGATTGCCAGGGGATGGGGCTAATGGAGGAAGAGGGTTGACGAGTGACTGCTGTTAGGTGCGGGGTTTCTTTTTGGGGTAATGAAGACATTCTGGAGTTCTGTGGTGGTGTTGGTTTCACAACATGTGAATGTGCTGAAAACCAGTGAATTATGCACTTGAAAAAGGATAGCGTCTATGCTAAGTGAATTATAACTCATTTTTGTTTTGTTTTGCTTTTTGAGACAGGGTCTTGCTCTTTTACCCAGGCTGGAGTGCAGGGGTGCAATCTCAGCTTGCTGCAGCCTTTACCTCCCCGGTTCAAACAATTCTCATGCCTCAGCTATTCAAGTAGCTGGGATTACAGACGCAAGCCAGCGTGCCTGGCTAATTTTTTGTATTTTTAGTAGAGACGGGTTTTGCCATGATGGCCAGGCCTGTCTCAAACTTCTGGCCTCATGTGATCACCCGCTTGGGCCTCCCAAAGTGCCGGGATTACAGGTGTGAGCCACCAGGCCCAGCCTATATCTGTTTTAAAACAACGGAAACAAATACGTTCACTTCTAGTGGTTCTGCTGGTTCTAAAGTGTGGCTCCCAGATCAGCGTTGTCAGCAGCACCTGGGAATATGTTAGAAATAACATCATCAGGCCCCAGCCCCACCAGCTGAATCTTGTGCTGGGGTCTGGCATGGTTTAACGAATGTTTGGGAGCCACAGCCTTAAACAAACTCCTGTCTTGTTTTCTCCCTTTCATTGCTAAGCTTTTTTTTTTTTTCATAACAGCTTTATGGAGATAAACAATTCACACGATTACCATGTACAATTCAGTGGGTTTTAGTATTAATATTATACTAAATAATAATAATATAGTAATACGGTAATGAGACAGGTGGGAAGGGGTCCCTGGAGAAACTCCAACCAGTCTGCCCATTGAAGTGGAGCCTTGGGAAGTTCACGATGTTTACAGCGTGGAGGAGCCCGGCCCCTCCTCTTCCCGTGTGGAACCTGGGATTCCAGTGGTAGGTGGGAAGGTGCTAGCAGGGACTGTGGCCTTGTGGGGATCTCTATTTCCCCTTCTCTTTCCCTTTTCACCCAATAAAACCCTGCTTTACTCACCCTTTAAACCGTCTTCCAGCCTAAATTTTTGTGGCCGTGGGGGGGACAAGAACCCATCTTTAGCTGAACTAAGAAAAGTCCTGCAATAGTAATACATTCGCCAAGTTATTAAACCAGCAGTGAAATCCATTTTAGAGCAGTCCATCACCCCAAAGCACACCCTATCGTGCCGATCAGCAGCCACTCCTCCTCTGCCTGGCCCTAGGCAGTCCTAATGTTGCTGTCCATGCATTTGCCTCTCTGGGCATTTCACATACATGGAATCATACACGACTCAGGCCTTGTGTCTGGCTTCTTTCACTTAGCGGTATGTTCACAGGACTCATCCATGTAGCCCACATCAGAGCCTCATTCCCTTTTACAGCCAAATGACGTTCCACTGTATGGAGACCACACTGTTACTCATTCTTCGATGGGCATGTGGGTTGTTTGCACCTCTTGGCTGTTAGGAGTCAAGCTGCTGCTGCCTTCATCCATACGCAGGTGTTTGTATGGCTGTGGGACTCGGACAGTCCCGTGCTGCATCTACGTCCTCGCTTTCTTTATTATTATTATTATACTTTAAATTCTGGGGTACCTGTGCGGGCCGTGCAGGATTGTTACATAGGTATACACATGCCATGGTAGTATGCTGTATCCATCCCCCACCCCCATCATCTACATTAGGTATTTCTCCTAATGCTAACCCTCCCCAATCCCCCCACCCCCTGCTATCCCTCCCCTAGCTCCCCCACTCCCCCCCGCCAACAGGCCCTGGTGTGTGATGTTCCCCTCCCTGTGTTCTCATTGTTCACCTACTTGTGAGTGAGAACATGCGGTGTTCGGTTTTCTGTTCTGTGTCAGTTTGCTGAGAATGATGGTTTCCAGCTTCATGTCCCCGCAAAGGGCATGAATGCATCCTTTTTTGTGGCTGCATAGTAGCCCATGGTATATATATGTGCCACATTTTCTTTATCCAATCTATCATTGATGGGCATTTGGGTTGGTTCCAAGTCTTTGCTATTGTAAACAGTGCCGCAGTGAACATACGTAGAAATACCATTTGACCCAGCGCTCCCATTACTGACTATATACCCAAAGGATTATAAAACGTTCTTACTTTTGTTCATTCCTGAGCCAGGGGC